AGCTTGATCTTGGGGGAGCTGGGGGGGGGGTGTCTAAATCATGATGACAAAACAGTTATGCTTGCTTCTACAGTGTTAGCCTGGTGAAGACCTTTCTAGGGAGGGGAGAGAGGACTTGAATGTTTTTGTTTTGGATAGCTATTTATTTATCACCATCCTTTAGCACAGGAAAAAAGCACACACATGAATCTTGGGCCTCGGTGAGTATATTTTTGTAGGAGTCTCTTGGTACGGCTTGTCTAAATCACTTTCAGTGCATGCTACTTTTGGGAGAAGAGGGGAGGCGTTTAATAGAATTAAGCCTACTGCAAAAGCAGAACTGCATTATGAGTTCCTGTAACAGCCAATATACACTTCTGAGCTTGAATAGTTTAGGAATTGATTTCTTTCCCTGTCAGGAATTTCAGTTACATCATTATTGGATGGATTATGGTCTCTCTTGCAGTTTTTGAGATCATCCTTGCGTACTTGGAGAAGAGAGACTGGAAGGAAGCATTTTTCAGTGTCTTGCCACAGCGGAAAGGAGCTGTTCCACTGGGTGAAGCCAATGATGACTCAAAATGCCTACTGCTTGGGAAGGAAGCTGCTGAAGATGATGACTTGGACAGTGACTAGGCCTTGGAAAAAGTGGGCAGGAACAAAATAGACCTGTAGCATAAGGAGTAAAAACAGGACTTGAATTATCTGAACAATCTATCATATTAATGCTGTGTAACTGTTAAAGTGGCTATGCATAATGCCATTTTTGGACAATGGGTGTAGAAGACTGAATGTTATTTTTACCTTTTGGAATTTTTTGTTTTTAGTAGCTTTTTATAAACTAAATTAACAGCAAAAGCAGAATTTAATTTTGTTTCCTAAGGAAGCTAATATTTATTTTTTTCCTTTTAAAAATTTTATTTGATATGTCCAGAGTAGTTGTATTGTCTTCTCCTGAAGCTTGTGACAGAAGATAATGATGAACATTTTCGTAATAATTGTGTATGAATACCCCTGTTGTTTTTTTTTACCCATCCCTGCTCTGCAGAAGTAGCAAATGTTAATGGTTTAGGGAATCTCAAACCCAATACCAATAGTGCCTGTTGCAAAGTATGAATAATTGGAAAGATAGCAATGAAGTTTTGGTTTGTTTTGTGGTTTCTTTTTTTCAGTAGGCAGAGTCATGTTTCCATAGTCTCTGGGAACAGCATTGGGAGCCAGAATGCTGTCTTTAGCAAGTCACTCCACTGCTCTCTTGGCATACTTGTCTACAAAATGAGGATCCTGTTTTCTGGCAGTGGGGCTTTATTAATCACATTGTCTGCTAGGTGTTTTGGTGACAAAATGTCAAACTTCTCTGGCCTTTTGAACTTGTATCTCTGCTCATGCTTTTTTTGGCAGTGGCTTCCCTGCTTTTTAAAAGAGATGCAAAGACAGCCCTGGAGATGGAAAACCATTTTCAGACCTGCAAAGCTGTTTTCCCTGACCCTTCTGCTTGTACGGTTTAGAAGGCTGCCACTTTTACCTTTTATGAGTTTTGGGATCTTGCTATTTATCCCCTGAGAGCTAGATTATAATCAGTAACTTTCCAAATACAATGTGGATGGTTGTAAATTTTGGTCAGTTCTGACCTGGATTTGAACAGTCAACATAAATATGACCAGCTTTGCATCAGGTTCCAGCCCTCCCTTCTCTGTTTCCATTGTTTAATTGGGAGTTGAAGTAGAATATGTTTACATGTACAGGTAACTTGCAGTTGTACAGATCGCCAACAAACTGACTTGAATGGTTGTGTGACTTATTAAAAATAAATGGGAGCACAGTCATTTGCCAGTTAACTGTGATGAAGTTTCATGTGCCATAAGGCACTGTCTGCAGTTTACTACCCAGCTAAAATATTGTGAAGTCTGGAATGCTCTAGAGCTCTCAGAAGCTGGATAAGACTAGACAAAAGCCATCTTGCTTGTTTTAAGGAACCAAAGAAATATACAGCATAAACAAAGTAATTTTGCAGTTAAATACTGAGTTCCTCTCTTAACAAATGTGTAAAATGGCAAAACTACAAAGTATTACAGGCTTTAATGCTGCGGTACTGTGTGTCACTGCATATAGCATCTATTAAACCTGATCCTAAGAATTTTCTAGTTTCTCTGATGTTTGCTAAGTATTTCTCATGTGTACTCCTTTCTTTTCTGTGTCGAGCTCTTATATCTATTTCCAAATGTTAAAAATTATATCTATAATTTATACATGTAGAATTAATTCCAGCACTCTTAAAGGTAGCCTTATTTCATGTTTTTATAGATCAAGCATTTTTGTTATGTGGCAGGTAAAAGATACTTTTTTTGAACAGAAAAAATCCACCTCCTATAACTTCACTGATGAAAGGTACATGTTAGACAGGGATTCAGATTTTTAAATTCTGAGTACTGAAATG